CTTATAGACTATAGAGAAGGCTGCTAGTTAACAGCACCTGTCGCCAACTGTTAAACCACTTTAATCGAATAGAGAGATTTGACCAAACGTATCTACTGCCCCAAAGTACGGAGTGCGATTTTGGGGTAACAAGACGCAGACTATGGATCATTGGATTTGCAGTCTAGCACGCTATCAGTTGGATTAGTTAATGCAGCAATACCAATAATAGTTATAAAACGAATTATCAGTGGGCATTACTGAGTTCTAGGTACAAATAACCATCACATGTAAATACTAAAATATACAGCTATGGACATAAACACGTATCTACAGATATACTTTTATAAATATAAATGGTACGTATGTGTGATTATAAATAAAGCATAAGAAAAGCCTATAATATAATAAAACATTATGAACGTGGAAACGATGTATAAGGATAAAGCAAAACCCGGACCACGACGGAAAGGAAAAAACGACAACATTAATCTAAAAAAAGTGTATGTTTAGGTATTCCATTAACAACTTCAGAAGAATAAAAGACAAACTTAGTACAACACATGAATTGTTTCTTAAAGCGAAATATTATTGTACCATTATTGACTTATTATAACCAATTTGATGTGGGTAGTACCAACGTATAATGGTCAAGTTGGTGAAGTAAGTATGTGTGTATAATAATCAAATTAGATTACTACCACCCGTGGCTTATGTATTCTTAGGTTATGATGAAAAACACTACACTGAAGAAGGACCATTTGAACTTAAACCATTTATTGTTAACGTTCAATGCACAGTTTGTAAAGCACGTTGCGCATTCTTGTGGTATTTGAATAGTAAATACTCATACAATTGAATTAGTTATTGAACATAAACATTATTGTTTAAATTTTTCTTCTTTGAACTTATTGTATTTAATTAGAGAATAATAGCTCTAAGTAAGTGTATATCACAAAAACTTTGTCTGGATTAGACGCTCATTTTGATAGTTTTGTTCTTGATGGTTTCATTTTGTTAAAGTTTTTATTACTTGAGAGAATAAAAGTTCGATTAGAATTTATTAATAACAAAGTGGGAAGATAGTTTGAATAAAACTGATCCCCTCAACTCCAAGACCTTACGTTTCCTATAAACTTTTGTCCCCACATAAAACATGCGGGATAGTTTGAATAAAGCGGGCCCTCTCTCAGCTCCAAGACCTTACGTTTCCTAAAAAAATTGGCCACACATAAGGCAACATTATCTACAAGTGAAGAAAACGTTACAAATATTTTTGAGTAAAGTATATCCACAGATTCAACTTAAGTTTACACTCAAATTAGTATTTAGATTTGTGCCTAAGAGTAAGCGAATGTATGTAATAAGCGAATATACATTCCTTGTTGAGCAGATGTTCATGCGATATTTTCCACTAGGTGGTACAAACCGAAATAAAATAATACAACTAATTAAGTATTAAGCGAGTTTGCAAGTTCTGTTAAGTTATTGGAGCTTGGAGTAAAGCTGATGAGAAGATACAATTACAATATGTGTGACAGTTTTGAAACTGTTAATTTTAAATTATATTTAAACTAGTAAAAGTACCCGTCCCCAGTGACGGGAAAAGTTTAAGTTAATCTATCAATTTAAATTATTTCATAGACTTTAAAAAACTTAATTGTGTCGCACTCTTGGTTTCACTCAGAATCAAAGCTCTGAGCTACTTATGCCGCCCAGAGCAAAAAGTATTTGTTGAGCATTTTAGTCATGCTAAGAGCTGCTCAACTAAATCATACGGTAAATCTACATTTTTATTCATTAAGTTACGTCACATTTTTAGATGTGAATGATAGTGTGATTAATTCCTAACAATTTAGTGTAGAACATCATGCTTGCGAAATAAAATCTGTCATAAATGTAATTCATGCCTGTTCTACCATCATTTCAAAAGTGAATGTTGAGCTTTGCCTGTGTGCACAGCTTTTCAAATGCAGTGGGGAAGCGGCCACCGTAAACTGGAAACAGACGAACAATCGTACAGACACCACTGTTAACAATACTTG